GCTGACAAGCTGCTGGTCCTAAGCAAAGCTGTAGGAGTAAGATCAGACTCACTGCGACTGCGCGGTACCTCACGGCAATCCATTAGTCGACTAGTAAGGTGAAGGGAAAATAAAGCAATGAAAACCGCATAGAGTTTTCACAATGAGCCACATACCAAACGTTTCACATCTGAGCGTCTCAAGGTGACTATGAAGTCTACCATCTTCTTGGATATGACGTCGTGTAGTCTGGTAGAAGTTCACGGGCGCTTCGGAGGAACGTGCTGACTCCATCTTCAGGGCCCAAGAGTAAGACGCTACGATTGTCTCATGTAGCATACTTTTCCTACAGAGTTCAGTAAAGCTGTAGCATATTGTTCAGTAGCATTCCGAAAGGACACAGAAACAGGATGCGTCTTGTTAGGCCGCGCCAGAGCTCAAGCGGTTAGTCGCTGGCTTCCTACCGCCGCGGCCCGGGTTCGATCCCGGGTCTGGTCAAGTGGGATTTGTGGTGGACAAAGTGGCGCTGGTGCAGGTTTTCTCCGAGTACTTTGGTTTCCCCTGCCAATCTTCATTCCACCAATTGCTCCACAATCACCCTCACCTATCATCTGGGACTGGTACAATAGGCCAGAAGTGGCCGCAGTACAAGGGACTTGGTCCCGCCCCACTAGCAATTAAAAACAATAATAATAATGCGTCATGTTATGAAGGCTTTGGAAACCCATCTAAACCGAACAGAAGTAAATACACATGATCCCCCCTTTATGAAGGGTCGCGTTTGGAAATTTCGCTCATATGAACATCTTATATAATACGAGTAAATACGGAGTGGGAATCCCCTTTCGAACAAAAACAAAGACGTGGGAGCAAAAACGGAAACAAATGAAGGCACAGCCACCCAGTCACTTCCCTTCTCGCTCTGCTCTCGTGTGCATCTTACATACGATTTTGCTGATCTTTCTAACAATTTAAACAATGCATAATGAGACACGCTATAACATAATTACTGCAATTCTGTAATTCAGCATCCCGTTGCACATCTTTAATTAAACGTCTATGTATTTAGTCCGTCAACAATGCAACAATCATTAAAATATTCACCATTCAACACCAACACTGGTGAATATTTTAATGATTCCTGCATTATTGACGGACGAAATACACAATATAAAGTAAAGTAAAGGTATCCCTGCAACAGGCCGTGGAGGCCCGTAGGGTTGTGAGATGTTGAGGTTCCCACATTTTATAGATAATCGGCTCAAAGATGGCAGCAAGTCTGTCAGCCCTACGCGCCGGCCGCCCTTACCTCCAAGAATATTCCTGGTACTCAGTACTGTTATCGGCTGAGTAAATACAATCTACTGTACTTTAGATGCTTATACGTTCCGTTTCAGGTTATGAAATTTGTGATTTTTGTTTTGTTTTGTCACTTTTCGGCCGTACAGGAACGTAAGCCCAATTATAACGTCGCGCTTATGTGAGTCGCATTACGAAACGTCCGTTCAGGAACTCTCTGTAGCGAAGTAACTAACCGTTAGTAAGAGCGCAGACTGCCTCTATTCCGGGGAAAGCTTTAATCTGTGCTTAAGTGTGCCACATGGGACTTAGGGCGCTAGAGCACGCTACATGCTATATATTTTACATTTTGAGGTTTTATTCAGGAACTGCCGGCTACGCGAACCACAGCCTAACGAGAGCTGTCACCAGAGGGGCATAACCTTGACAGCAAGCACAGTATCGCGACATGACGTAACAAACAGGAATATTCTCTCAAACTGGACATGTAACCAGGGAGTGCCTGTGGTGCCTTCACAGCGCCTCTAGGTGTGCCCAGCACGCGTTAGACACGCGCCATTTGTATTATCATTCATTTGCCGCTAGGAAACGCTGCCATCTT